ACATATTAATATATGTTCAAAATTCTTTCTTACTTTAGGAACTTTTCACAGGGATTAATTCCCTGGTCCCCAGAAGCCACTGCCCTACACGCCACCTTAGCCCCAACCCCTGCCATTTCTGTCAAACTCTACGTTTCCTCTGGATGATTGTTTTGGTATGACTTTTAATTCTCCTTTATTTTATGCAGCATAATTCATCAAAAACTTGTAAATTTATCATTGTGGTGTTACATTTGATATCTGAACCCTTTTTTTTTATTATCACATTGAAGTCAAATCTGGTCTGAATCATCACTTAGGCTTTGAAGAAACTTGAGCAAAATAACCCATTTCATATCTCTATCAAAGACTCAGCCTTATAACATGGGAGAGAAAAATTAACCTCTGTGATGGAGACTTACGATTTAAATTTTCATGTTTTATAATATTAGTTTTAACCAGTATTAGTCATTCCAGCATATTTTATACATATATTAGAATCTTGGAAGCAAATAGATTTGGCATATATAAAGTATTAAAGAGAAGCAATGAGACTTTTATGAAACAAAAGAATAAATCAGCAGCTCCAATTAAGGCTTATAAAAATTAATCAACTAAGTCTCTGAAAATTAAGGAAGCTGCTGTTTAAAAATGAATTTAAGAGATTAACTCATTTAATATATGGCACATATCCTCAGTATAAAAACTAAAGGCAGAACTATCTAAACTTAGTATTGCAATATTGAGTATTTATTGAATTAAGTATGACATTTTATTATAAAACATTTTTAAATATCTTGGTACTTCCAAAAATCTAGAAGTCTAGAACTGCGTACGTATGTATGTGTACATATATGACTAAAATTTTTATGCTGTTACGAATTATGATTCATAAATTCAGATACTGTACCAATAATTTACAATAATTTTATAGTAGAATTATTTTTCAATGAAGTTAAATAATTTACTTCATTTCTTCCACAAAATAAAATTCTCTGAATTTGCATTGCTCAAAACATTACCATTCAATTAAATAGTAGTGTCTTTAGCATTTTATATACATAATTAAATTAAATATGGTTGTCTTTAAAATATAGTTTGCATTTCTTTCAACAATTACATATGTATGTGTGTGTTCACTACACATATTTATAATATCAGCAAAAAAATTAAAGGAAAGAATCGAGTTTCATGTTGAATTCTGATTAGGATTTGATTTCCGATAATACAAACAAGATGACTTTTTTGACAGGTTGGTGCATTTGATACACTCACCTGATAGTGTGTTTGATTAGAAGAGAATCCTAATACTTAGTAGGCCCTAATAAATTATTGTTCTGTGGTAGATAATTCTATCTTTAGAGATCTATTTTCTGACTCAGGCAGAAATGGAGGCCCCCTATCTATTCCTTTTCTAAAGACATCAGAGAGTCTGTATGAAAAATAAAATAATAAAGATCAAATAATGCCTTTTCCTTTCTTAGGCAGATACTGATGGTTGCTAGAATAAACACAATCAATAATATTTACAGTATTCAGGGATTGAAAATGCTTCTCTTCACATGATTTTTAAAAGCACAACATGTAGTATTTTATTGATTTCTCTCCAATTATCTATTTATAATTCTAATTTTCTAATGAAAATCCTCTGCAAAGTATAAATATTGTTTTATTTGTCACCTCAAATATTTACCCGAGGATTTTCTTTAATGAGGGAGAAAGTGATATTGCATGGCAGAGAAAATGCATGTACTCAGTAGACTGAAGAATAGTTATAATTATTATTTATCTCTTAAAGATCCAACTATTGACACATCTATATATGTGTATCATAATACTCTGAAACATTTTTTTACCTAAAATTCTTGGCAAAATAGACACTTGGAAAAAAAAATAGAAAAGAAGAAAATATGCCCTAAATTGGCTAGCAGAAAATATATTAAAGGACTCATTTGCAAGGTTACTGTTTTCTTGATGATTTTGTGACTGTTTTAGAGAATATTTATTATATTTTACAATAGATGGGCTTAGGAATAACATAGATAAATACAATTTTGTGGATTAAGTCTTGATCTTTCAATGAATTTACTTCATACTTTCAGGTCTCATTTGTCTGATATTTTGGCCGATATTCATTTCTCAATGACTGTTGACATCTACTTTTCATTTTTCTTTCAAAAAATTTTAAAGCCTCTATATGAAGGGATGTTCTGTGAATAGAGTCTGAATACATTTCTTAAATTTTTACAGCTTTCCTTTAGAAGAATTTTCAAGATTATAATGTTCTAATAATTTTCATTTAGCTAAACTGTCATTATTTACTTTTCTCTGAAGCGCAAAATTATAAAAGATTTGGTGAGAGCAATAGCTGTACCCATATTTATTCAAGAAAATCTCATTATTCTCAAATGACATTTGTTTTATTTGTAACTTAGACATTCTTAGGAAATTTTATGTATACTTAAAAAAAGGGAATAATTTTCATAATCTTGCCTATGCAGTAAAGTTAATTAATCTACACTTGGCACTTTGCAAATACTTTTAAGTTCAGTCATTTTAAGAATACCTTAAATGTTTTATTCCAGTATTACAAATGAAAAATTGAAGTTCACAATATTTAAATAGCTTTCCTAACATACTGCTCTTGATAAGTGACAGAGCCAGGATTCAAATAAAAATATGCCACATTTGAAAGCCTTTAGTGAAATACTACACTGCCTTGCTCATAATGCTTCCTCTTCCTTCCATACGATTCCACAGTCATATATGTTGAACTTTTATGTACACAATATGGCAGTCTCGGTATTACCTTTTGTCTGTGGGCTTCGAGATACCTTCAGTTGTCTAATTCAGTCCAACTCTATCTTTGAAAACTTTCTATTTTTATGCATACGACCGGCTGAAAAACTATAAACTATTTCCTGTCATTTCTTTTCTTCCATGTATTTGTAAGTTTTCTTACAAAATTGTTCCTTATTCTGAGACCAATATCCCATATGAATTTTTAGTCTAAAATGTTCCTTCATTAATCATACTTCATTAATCATAATCAGACAAATATTCCTTCATTAATCAGCGTCTCTTTTCCTTGCCGAGGCATCAATCGAGAGGTACTTTGAAGAATGTCAGGTGATCTCCTTAGAATCAATACATGTAGAGAACATGAAGAAGATTAAATTTTAGCAATCTCGAGTCCTTATCTTAAAAAAAAAAAATGGGTAGGATAAGGATGTGTAGAAGTTAAATAAATTTCTGGGAATCAGGCACCTGTTTCGGGTGCCCCGACCTTGAGGTCTTGAAGTCACGACTTTCATTATGTATTTCTTAGTCTTTCAGCCGCTGTTCAGCACTGTCTGCACATTTTTGTTTGGATTCTTTCACTTCTCAATTGTTCATTGTGTTTCCCATACTGGGCCGCGTTCTCTCCTATACAGAGTCAAACTCCTTGAAGTCAGACATGGACTTCATTCAAGAAATCCTGGTATGTTTTTGAAGGATCTTATTGAATATGTCATAAGTTAAACAAAATCAGACGCTTCTAAAAAGTATTACAAATGCAAAAGCTAGATCATACTTAGTTGTCCTAAAATAATGCTCTAAAAATCAGCCCGTGATTTTTCTGATGAGGTTAGAAAAGCTTATATTATCCTGTCTGCGTATAAGGCAGTCAGACTCTCTCAAAAGAGGCTGCCACAGAAAAAGAAAATATTAATCAGTCAAAGAAAAACTAAAAATCACTGTCTTAGTTGATATTTGAAATGCAGGATACCTTGTTTTCTTATTCATAACAATATAAGAAATTGATTTAGCTTTAAGATCAGTGATTAAATGCCTCAAGTAATACTTTCTATTCCAATATCTTTCAAAAAAAAGAAGAAAAATGTGTCTACGTCAAATTCGATAACAGAAAGGGTAATCGGTAATCACTGAGAGCATTTAGTGGTTAAATAAATATGAACTGCATGAATGGAGAAAGTTAAAATGTTTATTAGTATAGGCTATCTATCGTTTTTATATTTTACATTTCATCTAAAATGTCATTTGCCAAAGCCAAACGAATGGCATCTTTAAATACAGACATTTACAGACCACGCAAATACACATAAAATTAAATATTTCCCTAAAGTAGATATATATATACTTATTAGCATAATCTTATTTGAATAATATGCATTTAATGGTTCAATGAGATTTGAAATAAGAAAATGATCAATGGGAGAATGATTTCTGAATATGAGCCAATGTGACAGATGACAGTGTCTAGGGCCTTGGATGCATTAGTCCTTCACTTCCTCTTATTTCTAATTTTTACCCCAATTCTAAGAAGTCCAAAATTGAAGGCTCCTGAGATAAACCTTGTCTGGTCATCATTCAAATGTCATTAGGATCCCCACTATTTTAGTGGCACGTTGTCTTCACAGGTGAGGAGATGGTCCATTCAGTCTCAACCTAGAGCATCACCTGGTCACGTTTCTGAGACCAGCAGAAGTGTGCTCCATGGAAGTAAGTCCATGCTCCCTCTGAAAAAAAATGTGGACCCCATTTCCGGTTACCAACCTAGGTTATGTTTAATCCGGACATTCTGGAGAGATGGGTGTGTCCTCCCTAAAATGCCTGTTGCCGGTTTAGAACTAGAGGTGATGCATCGCTCCTCTTGAGCTAGAGTTAGTAACCCAAGAATGGATAATCATCCTCTTACACACTCTCTGCGGCCGAGATAGTCTCAATCATTAGGAAAATGTTGAAAAGATAGATATCTGAGCATTACCTTGTTTATATCTGGAAAAAAAGTCCAAACTAGATATTTGGTTAAACTGTTGCCAATTTTGCAAAAGCTTAACTTTAACTTTACATTGTTATAAAACATTGTTATTACTTCTTTACTGCCCTTTACTTAATAGGTTTTTCTGATTACAAATGCAATGAAGTCAAATGGAATGCTTCAGAGAACATATTGGCAGATACTTTGTTAGAATAAAAGTTTCGATTTACATTCTTAAAAATCCTTTCCCATGATAGATTTTATTTTAAAAGATGTACCCATTTGTTAACATAATATGCTACTGTCTTAGAAGCAGATGTACAATCTTGCCACCAAAATGAGCAAAATTCATTTTCTTTATAACCAAATGGCAACATCCGACTTTACATCCTGGAATTCATTATAGGTAAACGAACGTGATCGCCTTCTCAGATTTGTTGGTCTCTGAGGCCTTCCTTCTATCAAGCCTAAATAGATGTCAGATTTCAGAAAACGTGTGTAACTGTCTTGTTCCATAAGCTGATACACTCTGCTCTGTGCGGCGTCAAAACTTTGGAGGGTGGGTTGGGTCATGCTCTTAGCAATGAGTTCCTTGGTGTGAAAATCGAGGTTAACCTGGATAATAATTAAAAAATAAAAAGGTGTAATTATGGTCAACCTACACAAGTAAACATCTCTGAGAAACAGGCAGTCCAGGGTTGCAGGAGGCATATGGCACAGTGCATCTGGGCGCATGGGTGCTGTTCCTGTCCCGTGTCTACGCGTCCACGCTCTGCTTCCGGGCTGGAGTTCTCTGTGGCTCTTCTCTGCCTGTGTCCTGGTCCTTCCCACTCTTGGCTACTTTAGAACAGTGGAATATTGCAGTGGTAACTATCATAGGGATCATTAGGTTTGACTCATTTTCAAAGTGGAAACTAAACTTCATAGAAATTAGGTAATTTTTAGTGACAGCGAACAGTGAGTTTGGGGCATATTTGAGATTTCAATGTGGGACTTTTGTTTTATTGCAGTGTTTTTTTTTTTTATTGTATATTAAGATGCTCCCCTAGAACCAAATGCGTGCAGAAAAGGTATTTCTTTTAAAGATATAAAATCCTTTAATACTTTTTATCAAAGCACTGCTGATACATCTGATTCTGATGGAGGTGAGCTCCCAGGTAGCGCCTTTCCTACAAGACACCGTACAATTAGCTGTCTTGTTTTTTGTCTGTGCATTGGGTTGGCCTTGAGGAAAACAGAATAATACATGGAAATGGAGAGCAAATTGAAACATATGGAAATGAGGAAAGCAATAACCATTTCATGGGGAATGATATCCATATAGACAATGTTGTCTCATGGACAGTATGAATTTGCAGTCAAACAGAACTCTTAGCAGTGATCGACTACCAGTTCCAGCATTTCCGTGAAGAAACACTATCTATCGAACACAGAATAGAAACATAGAAACTCTGTTTATTCATATTTGAGGATAGTCAGGTAATATTGGCTGGTTTTATAGCCATTTTAGCAATTGTATCACACAATTATCTCACACTGAGCTTGCAGTCAAAGAAAATCACAATTGTGTTTTCATTTGAACCATTGCCAAATTACGTTTCCCTCATCTCTCTATTATGAAAAAATTTTTTTAGTCTATTTTAAGGTGGAGAAATAATCATTTCAAGGCAAATAAAACTTTCTATATGTTGATGAGCTAATATGAAAATGGTACATGGTATAAACTTGTTGATTTCTCTTGCTTTTATCACTTACTGAAATCTTCCGTCTCTATAAGAGGTTGCTTATGTTAAGGTGATAATTGTATTCGCTCTCAGTCTAGAATAAAATTAACCATGAGGACTGACTTCTGTTATACCTTCCTTTCCATGGCAATGCCTCACGGTGCATTCTGTTTGTCTGTACAAATCTGTAAACACTCATTCTGCTTCACCAAAATCCTTAACTTTCTGGAGAGATGTATGGGGCTACCCATCTTTCAAATGTTTTTCAGACAGTTGTAAAATTTTACAATTATCTTTACCTCTTGTGGCGCATCACTCTGGATAAATTTTTCATATATTGCTTTTGCTTTCTGGATAATTTGTTGAGGGTTTTTGCTTTTCTTGAAGTCTTCGCAGGCTATCCAAAATTCAATGTTTTCCTCACTGAATTCAGTTTTAAGAAATCTGGTAAAAGTCTCCAATCCAGCTACCAAGAAAAGAAACGATATATTTTAACTATAAAATATTAATGCTGAGAAAATGTACTACTTGATATTAAAGTATAACTGGAATTGTTAACGGAACAGCTATGTCTTCTCCAGAGTGCTGTATGGCAGCACACATCTTGCACAGTATATGGGGGACTTCATAGAAATTAGCTGTAATCTTCACAGCTGTGAGAAGAAGTGTCACTTCTGTTGAAACAAGGCAGGTATCATACTTACCTCTGAAGAAAAGGGACCTCTACTTTGGTCCTTATTCTGGGTCTCTTTCAGCCATGCCTCTACCTAGGTGTGTGTGAGTGTAAGGGGGGTTATTCTATAGAGCTAAGAAGCCATTCCACCTGAAAATCCCCCACCCCGCCCCACCCCACACCCAGCGCTTCTAGACCATGCTCTGGTTCTCAGGCCGCTGGAATTCTCTGTTTACAAGCTCTGTTTCCAGGGTTTGTCTGCTCAACTCGTTTTCAGTTATATTCATTTCTTATATTCATTACCCTTTAGAACTATTTCTCGTGGTCAGTGGTTATTTCTAATATAAAATGTTTGATACAGAAGGAAGCAAGAAGAATAAATCTCTGTTGGTACGATTATGATAATATCTAAGGGATTTTGCATTAACACGTGTAGAGGTTTCGAGGCCTGAGTGCTGTTTATACCCCTCACCACATTTACTGTTCACAGCGATGCCTGGTATGTGTCCTCAATCCATGTCCATAGATGAGGGACCTGGATTTTGGTCACGTGCAGTCGCTCCAGGTCTCACTTTTCAAACCCACAGAAAGTTGTAGACATGTATCTTTCTCAGGAAGGCAGGACTTTGTGTGTGAGGCAGAGTAACAGCCCTCCAAAGATGCCCATGCCCTAATCCCCAGAACTTGTGAACATGTCACCTTACAGGAAGGAAAAAAGGAGCCTTGGCTGATGCGATTGTGGTTAATGACCTTGAGAAGGAGAGAGTCCTGGGTTATCCAGGTGGATCCAGTCTAATCACGCACATCCTTAAAAGGGGAGGAGGAAGGCAGAAGTGGGTCACAGAGATGTAACACAAGAAGGAGTGTTGCTGACCTTGTAGAGGGCAGAAGATGGCCATGAACCGAGGGATGTGTGGGTTCTAGCAGGTGGGAATGGCCCTCTGCTTAGAACCAGCAAGAGAATGGAGATGTTGGTCCAAAGCTTCAAAGAACTGAATTTTGCCAAAAACTCAAATAAATATGAAAAGGTTTTCTCTTAGACCTTGTGGGAAGGGCAACAGCCTGCTGACACCTTCATTTTCCCCATGAGACCTGTACTGTACTTCTGGCCTACAGGACAGTAAGATAATCAATTCGTGTTGTGCTGTGTCCCTAAAGTTGTCATAAATTGTTACAGCAGCAACAGCAAACTAATACAATCCTCGAATTATGCTTTACATATCACCATTTGTTCTCCTTGTCCTGTTCATCACGAAGCATTGCTTATATTATGTTTTGAGCAATCTTTTGAATAAATTAGAGACCCAGGAACTTAATGTTTAAGAAAGCAGTAGTCAGAAATGATGTGGCAATCTGCAGACATTCCCTAAGTATTAGAGTATGAAGTGACTCCAGGCACCACCATGACAAAAGCCATGGGGCCTCTTCTGCCCACTGCTCCTTCCGCTGGTGTTTCCAGTGGGGTAAGGGGCGATTCTGCCGTTTCTTTTCCTCGGTACATTGACCCCGAGTCCCTGATAGTAATGGTTAAATGTGGAGAAACTAAGAAGAACGCAAAGGTAGGCTCAACAGGAATTTGAGAAGGCATCGTGACAGCAGCACGCCACCCAGAACTTGTCTACTGCCACTCGGTGCTAGTGAGATAATTCCTGGTCAAACACGACCGTCTTAAGGAGGCCTTAGTGCTGAGCGGTTCCTGAATGAGTCAACAAATTCTAATCTCTGAGAAAAAGGAAGTATGATCAATGTGAGTGATATTTAACCACTCATTTTTTTAATTTATCTAGCTCATTGTTGGATTTTCAAGATTTATTTGCCATGCTGAGTCGTGTGGTTTTTCTCAGAATGTAGCAGGGAAATATGAACGGGCAATGATTCTTTGGAGGATTTTCCCCCAAATACCTAAGAATGTACATACTTCAAAGTTAATGATCTATCTCTGTTTCTAATAGATTTAAACCAAAATAGCTGCCCACGTGAATAGCGGGGAGTCCGGCCTGCTGGTTGTACCAGGGCTGCCAGCGCTCGTGGGATTGTTGGTTTAGAGTGTCTTCCTGTTTGACTTTTCTTTCCCGCAATTCTTTTCACCCTCTGGACCTCTGGACCTGAACTTTACAAAGCAGACAGAGTCACTATGATAATGATCGAGTCACTATAATGATTCGAGATTACATTCTCTCCTTAATTTGGCTACAGATTGGCAACAGCTTGAAAATATCTTCCTTTTCTATTTATGTGACCGGAAAGGTGGCTTTGTTGCATAATCTCTGATTTTATTTTTGGTCTCCCCCCCGCCCCCTTTTCTCCTTCGTCTTCTAAAATGATTTTGGAAGGAAACACAAGACTAAGGCAAAACAAACCTTTCAACCCCTAATTCGAAACTGAAGTAGAATTTGAAATATGCACAATGTTTAGGCTCGTAAAAGCAAACCCGCAACAGAAACAGCAATCTGTAGACCAATTGGCTTGACCCAAACTTCAGGCATTTTTAAGTCCTCAGGCCAGGACTTAAAAAAACTCGCTGAGAACTTTCCTCTTGACGAATTTTCAGTGTAATTAAAAACCACTGCTTGACACCTGTACTTCTTCCTCTTTTCAATTTCTAAAATGTTTGTCCTTTTCCTCCCTGTAATAGCGTCCACTCTTACTGGCTTCAATTCTAACATACATATATACATATGATAGTTATTAGAGATAAATCGAGAGAATACATATATTTATATGTATATATTTATATGTATATGTATATATTTATAGTTCTGGCACATATTCAGTGCTTGGTAAGTGAGAGCTCTTATTAGTAGTAGTAGATAGTATATATTTATATGTATATGTATATATTTATATGTATGTATTCTCTCAATTTATCTCTAATAACTATCTTCAGAACTGATAGCTTCTTTATATTTTTTAATAGAATTCTGAAATTTCTTATTTGCTTGGTAGCTGCTATAAAGGAGATTTCTGAAAAGGATTCCATGGCTAGAAATTAAGGAACAATTGGAAGCAAAACAACAAAATGATTGTGAGAACATTTTCGGGTGACCCTAATTTATATATATCTAAAAGGAGTTATGTGGCAATGATATCTGCTGATATCCGACAGTACACTGTTGAGTGTTATCACTCTGTTTAGGATGCAGGTCCTGCCTCTTCTCCGTCTAAAGTCAGAGACGCTTTAGCTCTTGCTTGTTCCTCTGTTACTATCTAACGGGAAATTGAAGCCACGTTAGCAAAATACAATGCCTGCTATCTTACAATGGGAGAACAGTCTGTTCCAGTCTGTTCCAACTGCTTTGAAAAGAGGAAAATAAAGTTATGTTTTATTGGGTTTATGAACAAAGTTACTTTGACCCCAGTGAAGGGAAAACTTTATTTCAATTTATTCTCTCCATATATCATGTATCAACACATGTATAAATACCAAATTATCCCTAAAATGAGTTAATTACTAATTGTTACAATTTTAGGAGGATATGGCTATTACTTTTCTGATTAATAGATCGATTTTTAATTAATAGATCAATATTTAATTATAATAAAATGTTATATACCAACACTTAAAAGGGATTGTCCCCTATGCCAGACAACTGAAAATTTTCCTTACTTGTTAAAAATAACTTACTTCATCTATCTTTACAAATTTTATGAAATGCCTAGTGCGAACCCAAAGACTGCATTATAAAGTAAAAATGCGGCACTCATTACGGTAGTGAGTGCTGAGTGTTGCGAGGTCTTGGCGCATCACTTTATGCCTTAATCGGTGCGGTTTCATTTAATTTTCACAGCAGCCCTGTGGAGTGAGTTCTGTTACACCCATTTGTACAGCTGAAAAAAATTGAGGTTCGACGAGTTAAACTGTCTTAAATCTTACAGTTGGGAAAAGATAGCCCTGGGGTTTGAACCCAAGTTTGCTGTGTAAAAATCATAAAAACTTTACCACTACACTGCCATAAAATAGCAAAGTCCCTGCTATTAAGGAAAGCGGTGTAAAGAGGGACGAGAGACATGCATGCAGCGACTCAGGAGCGGCTGCTACTCTGTGTGGGGCAGAGGAGGAAGTTCAGCTCGCATGGAATCCAAATAGAAGTCTTCCAGAAAATAACACGAATGTTCCTTAAAATATAATTCTTCGCTAGTTCCCAAAGCATGGGTACAGGCTGTGTGCTGGCCGTCATTCTCTGGAATATCATGCAATAATAGCCCTTTGTCACCATGGTTTGTCGTGAACTTGGTACAGACATTCAAAACAAAATCACGACACTAGTATCAGGAAAAGTTCTGTCTGCTAAAAGTACTCCTGATGAGTTAATCAGAGTGGATTTTGTTGGCATAATATGAATACGATAGGAAAGTAGAAATACTGATTCAAGAAGGGAATTAATGATGAATGAGAAAGTGGTTCACTTGTTTCACAGTTGAAGTGAATTACTTTTAAAAAAGTAGCATGCAGTGCTGTGCAAGGTTATCCCAGCACATGAGTTACTTCCCGTTTCTCTTAACGCTGGGCAGCTGCACTAAGTCATGTCACAGAGGAACCATTTCTCACACATGGCAGTCACTTACTAAACTGTCTTTTAGAAGGCAGCGGTGGTGAATGCAGCTGCCAGAACTGCTCGCTAGAACCTGAGATTAGAATTCACACTGGAAGAAGTTGGCTCAATGTGTCATACAAATATGAAATGCTTGCAATTGCATGTTTCTAAATTGAAACTCTGGCATCTGTTGGAGTATTTTTCTGATGCCAAGAAACCAAATGAAACAAAAGTCCTGTAACTCTGAAGTTGGAAACC